GAAAATGTTAATATTTATAGTTGGAGGTATGTTATTTATTTAGTCTTTGGACAATGCTTGGTGGAAAATGGATTCATGCTTATCCCCCATCTTTCTAGAATTAATTGCATAAACCCACAGGGGTCTAAACCTCAGAAACTTAATCACTGAACAAGCTAGGTATGACAATAACTCTAGTAGATGCCAAGAGTCCTTTTTATTATAGCATACTGCCTTTCAGTATGTCTTATTATCAGACATAGAAACAGCCCTTCTGTTAAAAGAACAATTCTAACGAATCAGTTCCGACTTGCCAGTCAGAGGCTTCTGTCATACTTTACAGTCCTGAAGCAATGACCCTAAAGGAATAGTGTCTTAAGCTTATTTATGATTTTAGTCCCCCAACTTTTGAAAGTCTCTACTTGAAGCTATTGGTCTGTTGCCTCCTTACTGATCTACATGGTTAATGCTCTTACCGTCAATACTACTCTATACAAAGTAGTTGATGCCAACAGTTAATTTAGTGAGCTGCTATTCTACACAGTTACTGAGAAACTTCTACGGGCAGAAACTCATCTAGCTCCTGGAGGTATAGTTGTGAATGAGACAGGCAAGATCTTTCCTCTCATGAACTTTATATTCTAATGGTTCTCAAACCTGGCTGTTTAGAAATATGGATCCTTACGACCCACCCTAGACTTACTGAATCAGGAAATGTGGGATTGAGGTGAGGAATTTACATTTCCTAATGCCCCACAAGTGACTCTGATGCAGCTGAGTCCATGGCTCAGCACTTGGGAACCACTGGTGCATATTTCAGTTCTCAACTGCTTCACCTCCCATTTAGTCCACAGCCCACAGCAATGGTTGCCACTTAACCACTTCACAGAAATTGCTCTTGCTAACATCACCATGAACTCCTGAGAGACAAGTCCATTAATTATTCTAGACTTCTCTTACTTTCTCCCTATGGCATGATGTTGCTGGCCTCACCCTGCTTCTTAAAATCCCCCTGGCTTTTAACAACATTCTCTTTTTGTTCTCCTCCTACATTCACTCTGGTTGCTCCCTTTCAGTGTCCCGCTATTGATCCTCTTCCTTTCCCACTGGATAAATGGTGGCATTGCTCAGTATTCTGGCTTCAGTCAACTCTTCTCACTCTCCAAAGTGTTCCTGGGTGATTTCCCCCATAACCCTGGTTTAAGCAGTCTATGTCAATGACTTGAAACCCTGTACACCAGACCACATTCCCCAGGACTGGTAGCACTCATCAGCACACAACACTCAATAGACCCAATGATGTAACCCATTTATTCATGAAGGATATTAATAAATATATTCTTACTTAGGATCCAGTGGTCCAGAGCTATTTATTAAGCTAAACAAACACTGTAATTTAACTCAAACTACATGGTGAACTTCCTGAGAGCAGGAACTGGGTCTTTTTATTTCTGTGCCCTCACTTATTCAGGACACTTTTTTGAGAATATAACAGAATAACCAGTTAAAAAATTGACTTGTGTCAATCTCAGTACCCAAACCCATCAGAAAAAAATAGAAAAAGTCTATGTTCCTGCCCCATGAAGTTAACCAGCCTTTTGTTTCAGAGAAGTCACCAGGTGAGTGAGCTTCTCTAAAGATGAGTGCTAAACAATATTTTCGTGTTTTAAATTCTGAACCTGAAAGGGAAGAGGGGATGGAAGCTATTTATTGAAGGCTAAAGGGAAGGGAAGGACAGGGAAGAAGATAGGGTGGCACAAATGTGACATTCTTTGCACAGGTGTATATGTATGTGCATATGCATATTAGCTCCATATGTGGAGATAATATATATGTATATGTGCACATATATTCTATAACACATATATGAAGATCATATATATATATATATATATATATATAATACAATATCTCATACGATTACTATGAAAAGTAAATGAACTAATGTAAATAAAACACTGAGCATGTACCTGGTACATAGTAATGGTGCATTCTGCTCTCTCCAAAATCCTACTTGCTTAAGCAAAGACAAAACTACAAAGAATTCTCATTTGAGTCAGACCCAATTGTTAAGCCTAACATTAGGCCAGAGAGTGAATAACTGCACTGTTGAAATTGTATACGTAATTGCATACGTTTGTTTTTCTGAGGATAGAAGCCATAACTTTCATGAGATCCTCAAAAGAGTCCGTGTCTCTAAAAATTTCTACAAGGCCTAAGAATCATGTGCTGGCCAACATTTCAACAACTGTTATCATTCTTACTTATTCCTGAACATACTACTTTCCCAATCAAGGTAAGTATCAGTGACTCAAAGATGCTCCTTTTAAGGAGGCTAGTGGAATCTTCATTCATTCATGCATGCATGCATTCATTTATGCAAGAGGCAGTCATTTGTACTGACTCTACATTTGACATTACTAAGCCCAGGGTACAGAGACACACAGACTGTGAGATCATTCAAAAGACAACTACCTAAGCTGTGATGAAGGCTTAGGTAGTGACCCTAAAGTGACCATAAAATCTGAAAAAGGAACATCCCAGAAGCTTAGCAGCAACAGCTTCAAGATCTGCTACTGTCAAAAACAACAAAAATTGTTCTGAGGAAGGGCGATCACTCAGTAGGGCACAGAAATGTGACAGAGAATGTTTTCTCTTTAACTGGACTGAAGCTAAGGAAAGATCATCTCCCAACAGCCCCACCCGCACCCTCCCTGCCTCTTTATTTTCAGGTTTTTTGAACTGAAATTTAAAAATCTCTTTATGTTCTATAGTTTTTCTTTTAGCTTAGTATGAATTGTGGGCTCTTGGAATCTTTGAAGTGGGAAGGTCCCTAATCTACAGACACGACACATAAATTAGGTATAATCTTGAAAATACCCAAGGACAAGAGTCTTACTACCTTGAGAGATCCATTCTATATTTGAGTGGGTCTAATTATTAGCTGTTTCTTCCTTGTTTTGAGCTAAAATTTGCTCTAATTTTCACCTTAAAGTCCTAATTCCATCTTCTGGGAAAATACATGTCTTCTACATCAATATTTTAAATTAACAGGTCATAAAATAAATTTTGGAATTACATCCAGCATTGTATTTAATGCAACTGAATAGGATAGAATAGGATAGGAGAGAATAATAGAAGAGTAGAATAGAAAATATTAGAGTTATAGCATGTGAGAGACAGGTTTTTTTTTCAAGGTTTTGTTTCAGTTGTTTATAGATGTAAATGTGCGCTAGGTTTGATATAAAATGTCTTTCTTGCTATGGGTTGCCACTGAAAAGTTTGAAAAACACCAATTCCTTCAGATAGGTTAAGACATCTGTGTCATGGACCCCTATGTCTTCTGTTCTCCAGATTCAATATCCCAGTATTCTTCAGTACTTGTCCATTTGTTTCTAGTCCATTCCCTACTTTGGTCTCTCTTCTCTGACTAGGCTCTCTCTTAAATGTTCCTCTTGAAATGGAAGGCGCAGAACCTCCCAGCTAGGACAGGACTGGGGGACCAGGGTACAATACACACGTTGGGGCAGGAAGACAGGCAGGAGTTCTCCCTGCTTCAATGTTTGCTAAGTCCTCAGATGCCTTCAGCAGTGGAGAACCAAGGTCATTGACCCTATCACCAGAAAGCTTCCAAGAAGGTGTTTTTGGGAGACGTGGATTCAAAAATACATAGTGCACAGCTGCTCTACCAGGTTTCAGGGTAGTACCAAGAGAGAAAGAAGACCACCATCCTGTGCAATCCAGGCCCACACACAATTATTATCTCACTGAATCTGTGAGTTACGCAGTATCGTTTTCACCTCATTTTATAATAAGAAAACTGAGGTTCGGAGAAAAGATGAGAAACTTCTTGATGTATTTTAGGAGTTATAAAACTTGCAATAAATGGTCATCAGACAACCTGCAATGTGCTATAGGTGACAATGGTGGTAGCTCTCACTTAAATAGCACTTTGTTGTTTTCAAGACAGTCTCATATCCTTTATTCCAATCATCCAGGGGTATGTGCAGGGTCCATGATAGGGTTCCTATCTTCCAGATGAGAACATGGGTCCAGGGAGATTATGTTACTTGTCCAAGACCACACAGCTAGAAGGCAGTACAGCTACTTCTAACTTGGGTCGCAACTCTAAATCCAACGCTATTTTCGTGGGCTTCTCTGCCTAATGCTGACAGTTTTACCCAGACCTACAGAAGCAAATTACTCTTTATCTTCCCTGGTCTGGAAATTTACAAAGAGATTCTAGGATGCTAATGCTCTATCCAGCTATCCTGTTATGACCAAGATGGCACTAGCCTTTGTAACTCTAGAATAAGATGGATTCTTCCCGTAAATGGCCAACAAGCTGGGGCCAAGTTGTAAACATTATTTACATCAACCTCAGACAATAGCTGAATCTGTAGTTGGGGTGCCAGGGAATATATGAGAAAACCAGGCAGCCTTAATCCCTGCAGCACGTGTGAGGAAATAAAGACCACCTTGACTGATGGCTGGCTTGATACGTCTGAAGAGGATTAAGTCTGGCTGCAACAGAAATGGCTGGGAAGCCAAAGTGAAGAGAACTCGATGAGGTATGGCCTACAAAGTTTAAACTTCTAATCTCCACGGACCAGAGTGACTTCGTAAGGAATTCAAGAAGAACGCAATTCGCTCAACATATAATAGGATCCTGAAATCTGAAGAATGTTTTCCTGAGGCCAGAAAAAGGCAAGAAGTGTACTGGTGCCCACTGTGGGATGACTGAAGTCTCAGGCAGACTGTGGCAGTGCTACTTTGATAACTCAGTGCTACAGGGGTATTGCAGGGTTGATGACATTTGCAGGTGTTGACACCTACCCAAACTCATCTTCTAGCTTAACAGGTAGAAGCAAGCAGCTAAACATATCCACGCATTCATCCAAACCAGCAGACTGGCAAAGTCAGGCCCAGCAATAAATGGAGTTTAATCTCTGGAATTTAACTTGAAATACCGTCACTGGATTTTTTAGGTGATTCTCTGGCCCCCCCAATCCCTGCCCACTGTTTTTCTTCCTTTAGGGGTTTGTCTTTTGATAATAAGCTCTACTTGCATTTGCAAAATATAAAAAGTGAACTTCCAGATGGACTTCTTAAAGTGCAATCCAAACATGAGGGAAACAAGAAATCCAAAAGTCAAAGGCGAGTGGGAGGTTTTCTTCTCCTCCAAATCTCTGGGGAGTCCGATTCATTCAGCATGTTCACATTCTGGTTTAATTTCCATTTTCTATAATAAGAGATGAAGATGTAATATGTCAATGTTGATGTATCAGAGAGATGATGAATTCCAGGCTAAAACACGGCGACATCTGCTTGGAAACGAGATGGAAGAAATTAAGATGCTTACCATGATTATTTTCCTCCCGAGCAAATTTATAGTATCTTTGGTCTCAAGGGCAGAAATTCCAGACAGATTAGCTTTTCATCTCCTAGGTAACTCTCTGAACTGCACAGCTATAGAAATTCTTTGCTTTAACATTGGGTGTCCTTATTAGGGAAATATCTTAAATTCTGTGCCAACAAAGAAACTCATTGACTACTAAGCAATAATCATGAAAAAATTTATGACATGGATTACAAACAGGTGCTCCAAAGAGAACAAAAGCTGGGGTTATTCACCGCTTGGACTAACTGAAAAACATTATTTACATCTAGCACAGTACATTTTATGCTTTTAGTAAATATTTTTTCTGGGCTATGTGTCCTCATATTCTAGGGAGGGTAAGTTTGCTTAAGTACCAGAGAGAATTGGCGAATGTAAATAGAGCTACATAATAATAGGTGCTAGAGCACTAGAATTGCCTATACTATACTCATTCATAAATTAATCAACAAAAATGTATCCAGTCTCTACTACATCTGTGTTCAGCTCTGGAGATGCAAAGATAAATACAATATGATGTCTGCTTAGTTCAAATTTGCTTTATTTACTTTTTACAAACATCTTAGGAAGCTGTGCAGGCATAAGCATGTCCATTTCATAGATGAGGAAGCTGAGGCTTGATGAGGTCACATATGAGGAAGTACCAAAGTCAAGACTGGTACCCCAACCTTCTTTCTTCAAATCCAGTGCTCTGCCCACTCCCTCACACACTGGCATGATTGAGATGAGACCCAAAGGGGGTTTGGATGACCCAAGGGCAACCACTGAGGGCAACCTCAGTGCCTGAGGACATCAAAACTGGCTTTTGACCCAGTATTAACATCCCAGTGCATTCCATTTTCATTTTTTATCCAGATGTTTAGCACCGTGTAGACACAGCTATGGTCTCAATCATGACTAAGTGATACTTTTCAGGAATTACTGAAATGCTCATTGAAAAACTATTCTAATTGCATTTTGAAATGATCCAGTGGGGGAAAGTGTTTGGACCTTTTTGAAGCAGTTTCTCTCAGAATTTAAGCAACAGGAGTTGTAAAATATTCCCCAAAATATTGCTTGGCATGACAACCTCTTTCAACACAAATGAGCCATTGATAAAAAGGAATTTGTTAAGAGAGACAGGAGTTGGGGTGAAGCTCATTAGCCACTTGGTTGCCAGGGAAGCGAAGCTGCCAGAGAAGCCTGGATTGAAGATGAACACGGGGGGGTGGGGGCCTGGGTCATTTGCAGTCAGTAGGGGGCAAAGAGGACATTTTATAGCCTTATTAGGTACAAATGATTTGGTTTTTTTATACTGGCAAAATCAATATGTAACTACTCCAAAATAACCATGATGAAATGGAAACAACACAATAAAATGGAAATGATTTTGGGGTGAGAAAAATCTAAATTGGAGGATTCCCTTACCTGTTAGTTGTGTGACTTTGGGCAAATCTCTGAACAACTCTGAACTTCCATTTCCTCATCTCCAAAATGAAGATAATCAATCCTATCTCATAGGATGATGAAGGATTTGAAAGCACTTTTTAAATTATAAAACAGTATGTGAATCCAAGTTTTCCTTTTTTATTTACAAGAGAAATTCAAATCCAAATACAGTGTTGAACATCTCTCTGTGCTCAAATATTATTCATCACCAATGCACTCTAACTTCCAGCTGCCCCAGCCGTGGTCACACTCGTGCTGCATCTGTCCTAAGAATGTATATTCAGAGTGCCTTCTGTGGGTGTTTCCCAAGGCTTCAGTTCTGTGATCACAAGCCTGAGAATGTTTGCTGCATCTCTGATTTGAGAAAGCAAGCCCTTCGATTAGTTTTCTAAGCACCATTATACAAAAGGCCACACAGAGACTACATTCAGATGTCTGACGGCCATCTTGAGCTTGACTCTTGATTTCTAACCTCTCCAGCCTGTTCCTTCACTAGTTCCTCGCACCTCAGCAGACAGCAACTCCATTCACTTTTCCCCGTCCATGTCCAATCCATCCCCCAGTCCTGTCACCGCTGTCTTGAAATACATCACTCATACAAGCTCTTCTTGCCTCCTCCCCCAGGGCCACCCTACTCCACCCCCCAAGTACCCTTGGTCTGGAATACTGCCAGTCTTCACTGGTCTTTTCCACCCTTACCCCTTTACAGTCTATTATTCCTGCAGCAACCAGAGTGACCCTTTAAAAATATGTTAGGCCAATCACAGAGACCCTTTCCTAGCTCATTAAGAATAAGGGCCAAAGTCTTAACCACGGTCTACAAGACCCCAGCTGAGCTGATCTGGCTTCCCACTACCTCTCAACTTCATTTCCTTCCATCTGCTCAGTTAATCCAGCCACTTTGGTGCTCTAGTCCACCAATACCCTCTTGCTTTGGGAAAAATTTGTGCTTGTCATTCCCCTTGCATGGATAATTTTTATCCCAGATGCTCACGTTTCATTTTTTTCACTTTACCCAAGATTCTGCAACAAACATCATTTCCTTGGAGAAATAATCTCCTGATCTCTTCTGCTGCTTATTGTTCTTCTTAGCACTGACTTATATTATATTATGTTATATTATACCGTATTATATTATGCCACACCATACTGTATTATATTATTGTTTATTGTTTGTCTCCCTACTGGAATATAAGCCCCACAGGGGCAGATATTTGGTCTCTTTCATTTGTTGCCATATCACCAGCATTTAGATTAAATCAGTACATTGTAGATGCTTTCAGAGGCTGTGTGACACATCCTTGAAACCATCAGGAGACCAGGGCTGCCTTTCAATTGTGGGCATACTTTTTTTTTTTTTTTTTTTTTTTGTGGGCATACTTAACCCAGCTTGGTCGATGGTATAATCAAGTTTAGAAAGAACCGTGTATCAACCAAATGGTATCCTGCCTGGAGCTGAGGAATAAGGAGTGACTGAAGAGCACGAAAGTCCTAGCTCACAGGAGTTAAGTAACTTGCCCAAACTTACAGATAAAATATAGAAAAATTAATATTTGAACTGAAGGGGCTGAGAACATGCCACCCCAAAATATGCCACTTTGGCATATTGATTATTTTGAGCTGAAGGCACATGCAGGAGGGGTTCTCTGATCTCCCCCTTTTGACCTAAAAACAGGTTATAAAATTTCCTGTAAGCAAGGTGACCTCCCTGCACCAGGAGAAGAACATTCTTATCACCAGGTGAGTTGACACCAAAATGGATCTGTACAAACAAACCTACTAAAATAATCCTTAATTCCATTAGTTTCCCCAATATATTTCCCAGTCACTTTTCCACAACTCACTGCCCCTAGAAGCTTAAATGCCTTTTCCTTTGTTTTGTCACTTTTCCACAAATTTATCATTCCTTGTTTAAAAGGGTATATAAGCTCTTGGTTCTAAGAGCTTCTTAGGGTCTTCATTTTTCTTATGGAGACTCCTATGTACATGTAAAAATATTAAATAAAATTTGTATGCTTTTCTCCTGTTAACCTGTCTTATGACAGTTTAATTCTCAGGTCCAGCCACAAAACCTAAGAGGATAAAGGAAAAATTTTTCCTCTCCTATAGAACAATACTGTAGACAATGCTACCTCCCTAATGCATTTAAACTGAATTGAACGTTCCTGCAGTAGCCCCCAGATGTAGGTGAGTTGAACCTCTGAGTTAGTTCCTGCAGTCTGAAAAGATACCATAGAATTTCTAGAGCTGATAAGCAGAGACATTGAGCCTGGACAACGATGGCCACTCCAGGGACCTCTGGTGGCTGCTACCTCTGACACCCAGGAAGCTGTGAGAAGTGTAGCCTCCTCTCAGGCCCTAGGAGGGTCTCCAAAAAGAAGATTCCAGCCTATTGGTCCAGCCTGAGCGGGTATCATGGAATTCACCCAGAGAAAAGGTGAACTTTAGCTTCATTAATGATTGTGAAATGCTGGCATTTGGTTCCTAGCGACTGCTTCTTTCCTCTAATTCTCTTGAAATCTCTCAGCTATGAAAGCTGGTCACCAGGAAGATGTTTGTAAATATCCCTCAAGGGGGCTGTCCTCTGGGCTAGAGACAACATCCTGACTCCAGAGGCTTACCAGGTCCTCTGAAGTTGGCAGAGGAGATGGGTCAATGTTTGTCCACATATCTAAGGAAGGAGATGTTTTCATGCAGGCACCACTAAACCTTGATAAAGGCACTTCTCGCCTGTCTTGTAAGAGGCTGGGTCCTGTCCCTTCTGTAGCTCCCAAATCCTAGCACACTCTGAAGTGAACTGTCTTCACCAATGGCAGAATAAGTAAAAATCCTCATCAAGACATTCTGATCTCATACAAATATCAGTTCTTATGATCTCCAAAACTCTCTCACTGTGCTTTGCACAGGCATTACCAATAACCAACGATATTGTTCTCTCCCGGGCATGCTGAGAGAAAAAGCTATTTTACTGAAGATCGTTTCTTTGACATTCACGCTCCAACAAGGATAGTCTCTTCTGGGCCTAATTTGACTTCTTTATGTGCCAAGAGGAAACTTTCTATCTGAAGGGCAGGCATACAGATAACTGAAGAGCCTTTAGGAGGTACTTTATAATTTCCTTGAATTTCCTAGAATGTTTGGAGAATAATGTGTATTGATTAGCTGTCTCTTTCAAAATGCTTAAACTTCTCCTATCCTTTTATTTTTTTAAGGGAATTAACAGTGAAGAGAAAAAATAAGAATATACCGACTCACTCATCCATACATTTCCATATTTCCATGAAATGTAACAGAGTCCATGCAAGAACAGTGGAAGCCAAGCAGCTATTCCTGATGAATTTGGAATTGAGGTCATGGAAATAAGAGAGATGGCAGTGACTCCTTGAGACCATGTTATAATCTGAATCTGACACTAGGATGGCCAGCGTGGTGACTGCACGGCCACTTCAGGAGGCAAGAGTTGAGATCAGGGGCACGTAACCTTCAGCTGCCCGGCACAAAGGGAAGGCGAGTTCCGAGCACACCACAGACCTAGTCTGTGTCATTTAACATGCAGAGCACGACACTCCTAGGGCAACGCTGTCATAGAAAATTCTGCTTCCAACCAGTGAACTGGCACAAAACAAAAAAATTAAAGCTATGACCAACGATGTCACATAATAGCAAAACAAGCAAGTCCGAAGGTTGTTTTTTTTTTTTTTTTACTATAGTGCCCTATGTGCAGGGCTTCTGAATTTTTTTTTCCTCCAGCCTAGGCCTTACCTGGTCACTCCAGGGGATCGACATTTTAGCATAGCAAAGACTACACATTCATGACACATTAATGAGCCATGGCTGAAGTTTTGCTAGTGGAAAGAGCACTAGATTTAGAGATAGGAGATCTGGGCTGTATTCCTGATTGTGGCTACTAGCTGCATAACTTTGCACAAATCACCTAATTTTCTTAGTCTTGTCGCTACATCTATAGAATGCAAAACCTGGAAAATATAAAGGACTAATCTTATGAAGTAGGCATTATCATCTCCATGTTACAGGTGAGGAAACTGTGGCCACACAGTTAATAAGGAAAAGAACCTAGGCAACGTAAGATTTTTTAGATTACGTTTCTAGTGTCGGTCTACACCATGATTTCCTGAGCTGGCCTTGACCAAGAAGGAGAAGGAGTGATCAGGAGTGGACTTCACAGCGTGAGAAGCCCAGGAAGGGGTGTTAGCAGAGAGGGGAAAGAATGGCAGCGAAGCTACTGCTTATCCACCCAACACTCAAGTCCACTCATGCTCTTATCCCTTGGATACACCCTCTGGCTTCTAAGGTGAGGAAAAGACCAGTCCCTAAATCTCTGAGGACCAATGCAAGTGGACGTGCCTCACAAGTAGAAACAAAGGCCTGGAGTCCATTCAAGGAACTAGAGCCTTTGATTTTACGTTAAATGCATTTTACATTTAATGTACTGTGAGGTGAGTAATTAATTAATGCACAGAGCATTAAAAGTCTCACATTAAACTTCACTGAGCCCAGTTTTGAGTGTGAGGTAGCAAAAAATAATAGCTCCTGAAACCATTTTCTCTTTTTTTCAAGGTGTCCTTTAGGGAAGTTGGAGTTACAACAAAAGAAGTAAAAGAGTTTGCTTTGGTCTTCTTTCCAGCTTTCCTGTAACTTCCGGGTCCACCCTCAGTGCCAGCAACAGCCCCACCTCCTTTCCTCTGACAAGTCTCAGTCACAGCCTCACCTCCTAAGGGAAGCCTTCCCTGGCTGCACCCAGAGTCAGGGGACCTATTCAGTGTTCCCACCCAAAGCACCAGGAAACTCTCCTCTACAGCATATCTCACGCTTCTACTTGTTCCATTAAATTTTGGTAATTATTGGTTGAGTGTCTGTCTTCCTGAGAGACTCTGAACTTCTTGAGGACAGTGACCATATCTGTTTTGTTCACTCCTGAGTCCACAGAGCCAAGGGCAGTGCCTGGCACACAGCAGTAGGTGTTAGCTGAACTGCACCCTGTTCATTAGTTTCTCCTTCCACCCCAAGGTCTGAATCACTTACCACCAAGAGCTATTCACAGAGCATGCATGATGTGTGGCATCGTGTTGGGTGACGTGGAGCCCAGGAACTCATCTTCACTCCCGGAGTGAGCTGGCACTGAGCCAAGAGGCAGCCACCATTGCGGCATCTTGGAAACAACACTGCATTTGTAGTCAGGACACCCTGCTTCAAACTTGTTTCCCCATCTGTAAAATAGGAATATAAACACCTAATACACCTACCTCACAGAGTTGTTCTGAAGATCACATGAGAAAAATAAATGAGAGAAGTTTCTATATCATGCAGCATCTTGCCGTGAATGCCCAATTTTTACAAGTGGCATGAGAGGAAGGTGACTTCTCCTAACCCCCACAGCAGAGCTCTCTTGTGGCTCTCTTTATCACCTCCTCCTCTCCAAGCCCCTCACAGGTGTGTGTTCCCAGAGCTCTCATGGCCTACCCCCTTATTTTACAGATGAGGAAACTGCAACCCAGACAGAGGAAGAAGTGACCTGCCCCAAATCTGACATGGAGTCAGAGGCAGAGCCAGGACTAGACCCTGGGCATCTGTGTCCTTTCCACCTATCCACCTCGGGCTGCCTCCTTCCCATGTCTCCTTGAGTCAATTTCCATACCCCTGGATGGCTCCTTCTGCCCCTTTTGAAACCATTCCTACCCTCACTACACAGACTACAGATACACAAAGGTGCCAGCTCAACTGTTTGTTAAACATGAGTTTAGTTGGGATGTATAGTGGTTAGAGGCCCCAAAATATTTTTGCCTAGGCCAGCTTGATCCTTAATACCCCTCCCATTTTCAATTCACTGATTATTTTAATGAGGCACCTTACCAGCATCCCCTCTTACTCTCTCCCTGCAAAAATAAACACATTTTTCCTCTATAGAAGAGAATTTTAGATTCACTGTTACCTGATCATTTCATGCCTGGGGAGAGGAGTCTTAGCAGATCAAAGCCCAAGTGTGTGGTGCTGAGGTAGGGACGGGGAGAGGGGGATCACGAAGGAGGAAGGGTAAATAGTGCAACAACACCAACCGAAGTAATGGCACCCATTCATTGCACTTTCTATAGCAGTGCTGTGCTAAGCCCTTAGCCTGTGCTATTTTTGTTCTAAAAACAGACAGTAACGGGGTGTACTATGTTGAATACTGCCCCCCTTAAATTCATGTCCACTTGGAACCTCGGAATGTGACCTTATTTGGAAATAGGGTCCTTAGAGATGTAATTAGCTAAGATGAGATCATACTGTAAAAGAAGAGAAAACAGAGACACAGACACGCAGGAAGAACAGCATATGACTACAGAGGCAGAGACTGGAGCGATCCTTCTACCAGCCAAGGAATGCCAAAGATTTCTGGCACCTGCCAGAAGCCAGGAAGAAGAAAGGGAGAACAGCTCTCAAGAGCCTTTGGAGAGCGTACGGGCCTGCTGACACCTTGATTTTGTATTGCTAGCCTCCCAAACTGAGAGAGAAGAAACTGCCGTTGTTTTAAACCATCTACTTGGTGGTAGCTTGTAACAGAAGCAATAGAAAATGAACAGAGGAAGTATTAAAACTCCCACAACCTAGATAAAGTTAGAAAGTATTTTAAATCCAGCATCTTTGAACTTGGTAACAACAATAGAAGGAAGGGGGGGGGGTTCCTATGATTAGTCTCCATTTCATGGATTAGGCAACTGAGGCCAGAGATGTAAGACAAAACGCCACAGTCACATAAGAGTAAGCATTACAGCTGAGACATCCATTTCAAGTCAGGCCCAGAGAGATGCTGCCCTAAAACACAAATACCCTTCCCATTGCCCATCCTTTGCTCCCTCCTCCGAACAGAGGGGGAAGATCATATCTCTTTCCCAGCATCATCTGGGGCAGGGCACACTTCACAAAAGCATGAGCTCTCAGGCTCCTCCAGCCCCTCAGCCAGGCCTGTTTCTGGGTGGCAGGCCCACCCTTCTTAGATCTAACTTCCTAATTCTGACTTGCAGGGACCAAAAGAGAATCCAAAAAACTCACAGATCTTTGGTAAACTAGGAACATAGACTTGATCTAATAAGACAAAATTGGACTACATTTGAAAAAAGTAGAGCGCAGTCAGCTTGTTATTTGGCCTTGAATGTGAAAACACTTCAACAAAAGTGGTTTCTCCTTATCATTAATTCTCTTAAAGAGAAATTTACCTAAAAGTCATCTCCCTTAAAGTGTTTTGAAAATTAGATGAGATTAAAACGAGGATGTTAAAATGAAATTAACCATTGTTTTAGGAGGCAAGATTTTAGCTAACTGACCTGGAGCCTTGAATGTCAAGCTGAAGATTTCTAACTATTCTAGAAGCTACAGGAGAGATCATCAAAGGGCTGTGAGTCAGGAGTGATGTGCGCTCTGGAAAGGCTAACTTGGCAGCCATGAGAAGGATGGATTAGAGGAGAGACTGGAAGACAATTTGAGGAGGTTGTGGTAAAGGTCCAAAGGAGAGAGCTGAAGCCAGGGCTGAAGTGGGAGGGGATGAATGAAAGCGGAGATCAAAGACACATGGCTGGGCTTCCCTGGTGGCACAGTGGTTGAGAGTCCGCCTGCCGATGCAGGGGACATGGGTTCGTGCCCCGGTCCGGGAAGATCCCACACGCCGCGGAGCAGCTGGGCCCGTGAGCCATGGCCGCTGAGCCTGTGCGTCCGGAGCCTGTGCTCCGCAACGGGAGAGGCCACAACAGTGAGAGGCCCGCGTACCGCAAAAAAAAAAAAAAAAAAAGACACATGGCAGATGTACAATGGCATTTACTCACGGCTGATTGTGGGGAATCAAATGGGATAAAGCCTGGATTTTAACAGTCAATGAAAGTGAAAGGAGGAGAAGGAGCAAAGGTAGGCAGGAGGATGAGTCTGGTTTTGTCAACAAGGAGGCTGATGTGACCATGGGAACCCTGGCCAGTTATTTGAATTGTGGTCTTCTCATTTCTGGACTTTGTTTTAGTGACAGAAATATAAACTCCCATCTTATTTAAGTCATTGATATTTTGGGGTTTCTGTCTCTTGCAGTCAAATATAAGCCTAATATCAATATTGGGGCTCTTTCCCCACAACTACAATCTCCTTTGAAAAGATAACACTTCATCCCCAGAATGTTCATAGTTTTAAAAGAAGCTGCTTCTCCCTCTCAGAGTTCTCATATTCAACCTATCGTCAAAGCTTACAATTTCTCCTTTGAAGATAACTTTTAGATTTGCCTTTCTGGTCTAGCATTCTTGATGATGCTCTTGTCTATGTGACCACTCACCTGGTACAGCATCCTCCTCTCCATCCCACCAATGCAGACACTGCTAATGGCCTGTCGTACACTGCCCTGATGGACAGCCCTGCAACCTGCCCCAACAATTCCAAATGCCCCACCTGACTTCCAAGATTCTGCCAAATCTGGCTTTGACTGATCTGACATTATTTCCCACCTTTTACCGACATGAATTTTAGTTCTAATCAGGCCAGTCTTCCTTCCAAAATACTATACCCATTCCGAGCGCCACAATGCACTCTACTTACTCTACGTGGAAGAGCTTCTCACACTTCACTTGGCTACAGTGTGTATTTAGCTATCTCCATCTTTCAAGGACTTGAACAAATTAGCCACCAGTTAGGAGCAGGTATGACTTGAACCAGGACAAAAATCCAGTAAGGCTACAGGCAAGCTCCCAGCCAGATATCATAAGCAACTAGAAAGCAGAGATCCAATCCAGTACCTCCTCAACATCAACCCCTTCCCGTAGTTCTGAGAAAAGTGGTCAATACTGAATCTGGAGAGATTCTCCAAATGTGGGAAGAAAAATAATGCAAAATGAAAGTGAAATCATTTAAAGATTTAGAGACAAATAACTAAAACTAAAACTAAGTGATAGGCTCTCCCACATAAATATAATTGGATTTAAAAACTAGAATCTACCACCTCATACCCTTTAGGATGGTTACCATCAAAAAATAGAAACTTACAAGTGTTGATGAGGGTGTGGAGAAATTGGAGCCCTTGGGCACTGTTGGGAATGTAAAATGGTGCCGCCGCTGTGGAAAACAATGTGGCAGTTCCTCAAAAAATTAAAAATAGAATTACCATATGATCCAGCAATTCCACTTCTGGGTATGTATTCAAAAGAATTGAAATCAGGGTTTTGAACAGATATTTATACACCCGTGTTCATAGTAGCATTTGCTCACAATAGCCAAAAGTTGGAAATGTCCATTGATGGATGAATAGCTAAACAAAATGTGGAATATACATACAATGGAGTATTATCCAGTCTTAAAAAGGAAGTTCTGACACATGATACAACACGGATGAACCTTGAGGACATTAGGTTAAGTGAAATAAATCAGTCACAAAAAGACAAATAGTGTAATCCACTTATATCAAGTACCTAGAATGGGTAAATTAATAGAGACAGAAAATAGAATGGTGGTTGCTAGGGGCTAGGCGGGGGAATGAGCAATTATCGTTTAGTGGGTTCAGAGCTTCTGTTTGGGAAGATTAAAAGAGTTCTGGAGATTAGCTGCATAACAATGTGAATGTACTTAACACTACTAAACTGTACACTTAAAAATGGTTAAGATGGTAAATTTTATGTTGTGTACTTTACATCAATTAAAAATAAATGTGTTTTTTAAAAATTAGAATGTATAGTATTTGGTGTTCAATTCTGGAAGCACATTTGAATCACCTGGGGAATTGTTAAAACAAGACATTGATTTTTCCCTCCCCTCCCTTTCTCCTCCCCTAGAGATAGTTATCTAATCAGTTTGAAGTAGAGGTGGATGATTCTAATGTGTACCTACAGGAATCACTATAGCACAGGAATTAGGAAAAAAATGTCAGTGATCTCACACATACTTTATAGACATGGAGTCTTAGAAGAAATGTGTGAGAGCAACAAGAAAGAGCTTAGACTTCAGTTTAACATACCTGAGGTGGATTCCCACCCTACTACTTCCTAGCTTTGTGACACTGGGCACCTTATGCTTCAGTGCCTGGCAAAGTACTCAGTGTCTAGCCTGATGCCTGGCACACAGGAAGCTATCAATAAATATTAGATTAAAAAATAACACATCTCTCTGGGAGTGTAATGACAATATTGTTACATTAGTCTGAGAATTAGCTACTAGAAACAATAAAGGTAAAGTCCCGGGCTTCCCTGGTGGCGCAGTGGTTAAGAGT